CAGCAAAAAGAGGAGGAAGGAGATCTATGTGGCTCTCTTAGTTGACAAGCAGCCTAAGAAATGGAGATCGTTACTTATTTCTCCTGTTGTGTTTCAGTAGTTTTCATTTTATGGATTTTTCAAGAAATCAATTATCCTCACTCCTGGATAATAAGAATTATTTATATCATCTGAGATTTTTGTGTTTTTTACCATTTTACTAAATGTCTTCTGTAAACAGGTGCATCCATCCTGTGTATATATACTAAGTAATTAAAAATCAGTTCATGCCTAAGTCTTTTTTTTCACTGACTTACATTGAGGATGACTGGAGCACATGAATCTCCATTAAAACAGGATTTCCTGACTATTGATAAAACTTTGCAGTTATGCAAGCTAATAGAAAAATAATCAAATTTCATACTTCATGCAATAAGCCGATCAGTGGAGTTCAGGGGAAAATTTTTCATCAGATTTAAACACTAAAGATCTTACTATTCTTCAACTTCTTTATAGACCTTACATACTAGATTGATAATAGACAACAGCTGTTGTATTTGAAATGTCTCATTGTAATCGAGCAGAATATTTTGATTTCAGGGATCTTCAAGGATCCTGAAGTCCAACTGCTTGACTGTGTCAGGGATAACTCAAAGTTAAATCGTGTTGTTGAGGTCATTGTCTAAATGCTGCTTGAACACTGATAAGCTTGGAGCATCAGTCAGTTCTTATAGGGTTCCTGTGCCAGTGACTCATCACACTCACGGTGGTCCAAATCCTATACCGTTGTTCTTATGCCCTTTTCATTTCACTCACAGGATGGAGTTTTCAGGCCTTTGTTCAATTTACTTTTATGTTCTGCACTGACGGACAGTCAGAATTTATCTATGATTTTCCCTGAGTTATGCCAAGAACTTACAGGAAGAATGAGGAAGAAACTGAGTAGCATATGTATTCATTTTTGTACAAATTTAAGATTGTCATAGATGGCTTTTTTTTTCCCATTTAATTGTACAACTGCGCAAAGTTGCAAGAGTAGAATGTACTAACCTTAAACTGTTTTTTCAATTGAATTTGTTTGAGTACTCTGATAATATCACAATACAGGAAGCAACACCAAACAAATAGCTTTCAAAATGTAGTTTTTTAGACTGGCCAAGCCAGGCGAGATTGTGAGTACCTCTTCTGCAGAGGTCCAAGAGTGCTCATGACATCTGTCCTTCCTGCATCCACTGAGATGAAAGCACAGCTGCTTTAGTGAAAGTGCAGAAGAATTAGACAATGCAACTGCATCTTCTAACTACACAGTGGAGAAGGAGATAGTCAAGACACTTCTCCACTTCTGCAGCGGGCATTGAACATGTCCATTTCAAGCATAGAAGATTGGCCCTACAAAAACAACAACAAAAAAAAAAAACCAAAAACCGTTCGCATGAAATTTTGCATCTTTATGGCATGAATTAGTTGCTTAAATTTAAATGAAAGTATGGAAACTTGATACCTTTAAAAATTTATTTATTTATTTATTTATTTATTTCGGAAAACTGGAAATGATGATCAATCCTGACCAGGAATTGCATATTCCGTCACAGATGGTGATGTCATCTCACTAGATGGTGCTACAGAATCATTTTGTCTAGAAAGAACGAAAAACACGCCTTATGTGATGATTAATGGCTCCAAGTGAGGGAACAAGTTGAGTTAGATGCTAGAATTCAGATCTGAGAAGATTTTCCGCTTCCTCCTTTAAAACTTTGGAAATGTATAAGTGAATCTGTGTGAGTTTGATTTAATAAATCATTTTAGTTGAGGAAGAGGTAAAATAGGAGTGAACTGATTGTGATTGTATCATAAGATGTAAATAATACACTTTTCTTAAGCTAAGTTAAAGGAGTTGTTTACAACTAGGAAGAAAATTGGTACAGCAAAGAAAAGGCAGCAAAAGGTGAAATCATGCTTGCTGTGAGCAGATCTGTTTCTAGGATTTCCATGGGCATGTTTGGTGCGCTACACTTGCTATTACTATCATGACGCTTGATATTCTAAAAATGAAATATCTTGCTCTTGATTCATTTTTTATTTAAATCATATTTTGCTGTGTTTTTGTTTTCTACATATTTGTGTTCAAATTTAAAGGATGTTGGCTTTTTAGACAATTACCTAAATATTTATACTTAAAGGTCTAAAATTCAGGATGATGAAAAGCTATTTTCAAGTTCATGGTAGTAGATCGCAACATGAAGATTCACTGTTCAGTACTGACGTAGTGTCAGTATGTGCTAAGCATAGAAGCCATGTTTTGAATTCCTTTCTGTGCATCTCTAAGGTGAAGTACACCTGTACAGCTATTGCCCTAAATTGTCAGGGAGAAAGGTTAATGTTTCCCATTGAAAACATGAGAGATGAAATGAGAGGTCTGCAGCTTGAGTCAGATCTTTACAGAACCAAATAATCTAGTGCAACACTTAATCTGAAAGGACAGGCAAGAATGGAATTAGAGAAGTGCTTAGCAGTGTTATCAGAATCACTTAGCATGAGCTCAGTGGTAATGTAGTGTAGTCTGACCATGACAGGCAGATCAAATCAGGAGTCATAATATTTTGCATGTAGGGCACTAATTGCTATCTGCAGAGTATTAGTGCTCCTGGAAAGATGAGGTGAAACTTGCCAAATAGCTTAAAAACCAGAAATAATGCAAGCAACCTTCAAAGAAAATTCCTGATGATCTGATAGGTACAATGGCTGCTCTGAAAGTAGTGCCTCCTGTTTTAGTATGTTGATCCATAATGTCAGAGGTAGATGGTGTTATGGCAGCAGAAGTTGAACCTTCCCACCAATATTTTGTTCCATTTTGTTGCAATGAGACAAAGGGCAGCAGATGGGCTGTTTTACACAGTGGCATCTGCCATGGAAGTGTGTCCGAAGCAAAACTGTGTCATTAATTTTCATCCTGCAGAAAAAAATAGCACCTATTGACATTCATTGATTCTTGCCGAATGCTGGTGGAGGCAAAATGCTGTGAGCACAGTGAGGCAGTCCGTGGTGCATTTCAGCAGTGGCAACAGCAGTGTGAAAAACAAGTCATTTTCTGAATGGCCATGCAGATTTTTGAGTGCAGTTTGCAGGTTCTTATTCATCACTGGTGAAAATGAGTAGCTAATTGTTGTGACTGTGTTGAAAAATAGTGTTTTGTATCTGAGAATTTGCTCTATGAAATAGTGTTATTGTGCTCTTTATGTCTGTTGCAGTTTCAATGGAAACAAATAGGAGCATTACTTTCAGAACAACCTATGTATATAATTGCATTCTGATTATAGATGCACTCACTCTTAGACTGTTTGTGTCTTTGGGAAGGGCTGCTACAAAGAGGCCAGCAAACAGCTCAATCTGACTGTTGGGTTGGCAACTTCTTCATGCCAGACAGTAATCTGAAGTCCTCCTATGTTAAACATGTAAACTCTTTGGTGTGTTGCATCAGTCCTCTATTTTGTTCCTGAGAACACTATGAGAGCATTAAGTATACCAGAGCAGAACTAGGCTAATAATGTTTTTTTTTTTTTGCTTGGCTGCTGAAAAAAAAGAAAGAAGAAGTTAAGAGAAATGGATCAATCAAACATTTCTTAGAGGTGCTTTGAGTGATACCAATTGTAGAAAAAAAAATTTAGACACACTTGACTAAAAAGAATATTTTTTAACTCCTTACATTTATACAGTTAGATTTGATATAAAAATACAATTTTGAAGAGGAAAAATTATCAAATATTAGTTTGAAAGTGTATAAAATTGCTAGCTTTTCTACACTTTTTTTCATTTCAGAAAGTGATAACATGCTTCATATAAACAAATGATATTTTTTTTAGATAATCCTTGCCCTTGGAAGAACTTGCTGTTCTGTCTTTTAGTGAATGTGACAGCCATTAATGGGGAAATATAGAGAGAAACGAGAACGTGAAATGGGTTGTTTAAGATAATATTGCTGGTAGATGGTTAACAAGTTTGTTTTATCTGGTGTTATTAGGACTACTTAATCATCCTGCTTTTATGGCTTATACACATTGGTGCCTGACATTATTTCTGTGATGACAAAAAATGCTGAAGTTATTTGTGTAAATGGTATAATCTTATTGTTCAGTATGTAGCTTCTCTCTCTCTCAAATACTGCTCTCTAAAACCAGCGTAATTATTATCGAATAGCTTAAAGCTGCACTTAGTGTTATTGATGATGTCAGAAATCATAACTATTTCAAGTTAAATATGTGGTTTCTGTTTATTTCAGTTAATGTAATGTTCCTTTTTAATCATCCTTTATCTAATAATCTTTTTTTTTTTTTTTTTCTGGGTGAATGAGGAATTGTTATTCTCAGGAATTGTTTTGATCTGTGTAAGATGTTTAGTACAGTATACTTAAAATACTTGCTTGTAGACAGTTTATTTAAAGAATTGGAATTTAGCTAGAAGTTAAGACAAATCTGCCCTGGCTTTCAGTTCCAATCTAAGGCAGAAAATGAGAGAAATTTGATATCAGTCCTCATCTATTTAAGCCACCAAGGATAAATTCAGTGTGGTACTACCAAGCAGTCAAAATACTGGGCTCTGCATTGCTCTTCTCTGGAGAACCCTTTGTCCTATGTGTATCTGGCTCCTGTGACAGAATGCAGAGCATGCCAAGGAAGAAAGGATGTTAGGAGAATAGCCTGGTCTTGTGACAGTCTACACTGTGGATCTTTCTAGACCTGACCTCTGCCCTAGGCTAGCCTGGGCAGAAGGACATGAACAGTCCTTTATTATTAACTGAGCCAGTGCTAGTTGTAATTGCCTAGAGAACTCATCATAGAACTGAAAAGTATAGAAATTTGGGGGTCGGCCAGCCTGTATTTGAAAACAGAGAGGAATATACTTATGAGTAACCAGAGGAGGTTATGCTTCCCTCAAACCAGGAATTGCTCTATAGACTCTAGTAGAATGGTGAATAAGATGCCTTCGGAAACCCAGATCGAGACCACTTTTTTTTTTTTCCACAGGCAAATCATCAAGTTAGTGATGCCAAGTGAGGAAGATTCTGCTTAGTTGCTATGACAAAACCAGAGAAAAAGACACATGGTTGATAGAAAATGATGTCACTTCTAGTGTCTATTCCTCAATTCTTTTCTGTGTTTTTATCCCACCCGGGGAAGATTTGAGAGGAGAAAAAGGAGTTGTATGTGTTTGTTCTGTTTTACATGTATCTTTGTGTTACAGCACAATATATGCACACAGGCATTTAATACAAATTAATAGACTTCCAGAGAATTAATTTCTATCATAAGATTTCCTCTTTATGATTGCCAATTTGGCAGCCTCCTGCAGTGCTTAATATTACATCTGCTTAACAGGCCAGATGATAATACTGTGAACTCTACCAAAATTATTTGCTGAACAATGGAGCAGGTGGCTGTGAAAATAAATGTATTACTGAAAAGGAACATTACTGAACCTTCCATATGATGTAAAATCACATATCTTCCAGTTTAATAAAAAGCTTATTATATACAGAATGCCTCATGCTTATGCTTTCTTCATAATAAAGACTTATTTTGGTATATCTTAAATGGAAGATGGGTTTTAGTGTAGCATAGACTAGCATCCACTGTGAATAGGACTGAACAGGTTTTCCAAAGAACCCACCTTTTTGAAGTAACGAAATCAAAAGCAACCATTCTATGAGTAAAATATTTTCAGCAGAGCAGGATTGAAGGTAAGACCTGACTTAATTCCCTCATATCAGATTGGAGAACGCGTTATCTGACACATCCTTCACCATCAATACTAAATGCCTAAAGGAGAGCATATGAACTTTATCCAAACTCCTGTTTATGTTTGCTTTCCTGACTGTTATGGATGCTGTTTCTATGAAGGCTGTTCTGAAAATAATGCCTCCTACTTTAATATGTTGGCCCACAGCAAAAGAAGCAGATGCTGGTGAGGTGGCAGTAGAGATTGAACCTTCCCACCAATATGAAATCATTTTGTTGCCATGACACAAAGGGCAGCAGACGGGTTGTTTTACACAATGGCATCTGCCATGGAAGTGTGTCTGAAGCAAAAGTGTGCCATGAATTTTCACTCTGCAGAAAAAAATAGCACCTAGTGATATTCGTTGATGCTTGCTGAATGTTGGTAGAGACCAAACTGTTTGTGAGCACATTGAGGCATGGTGCATTTCAGCAGTGGCAACAGCTAATGGTGGTGATTGTGATGAAAATTGGTATTTAGTAGCCGAGAATTTGTTCTATCAAATACCATTATTGTGCTCTTTGTTGTAGTTTCCATGGATAAAAATAGGAGGCATTAATTTTGGAGCAACCTTCATATATTTTTCACTCATATTTGTGTTTGAAGGTGCAATGTTTGCAAATTTCTCATCTGGGGCTTGAGCTAATGCTTTGGAATTTTCTTTGTATAGTTTAAGGTCTTTACTTCCTGCTCCTGTAAGCTTTAAAAAGTACTCTTGGGAGAAGCAGAGGTTGAATTCAAATCTCTTCAGAAAAATAGATTTAAGAATAAGAAACTGGTATGCTTTCTTTAAACATTCAGAAGGGACACTGAGTTTCTACAGTGCAGATCAGTTAGGATGCTTTTTACTAGAAGGGCTTTCAGTTCTATGACTAGTGTGTCTGTGACCATTGACTCCTGGGTTGTTCTTCAAAATATACCAGATAGTCTATTCTGGCAAAAGCACAGGAGAAAATGTTTTATGTTGTCATTAAAGTAGAGTCCGAAAAAAAACTGAGAAACCACAGACATTAACTCTGCAGGTAAAAATGTTCTGGGATTCTGCAAAACATGCATAATACTTTCTATTCAGTAAACCACTTTTATATTATTTGTAACAGTTTAGTAGTTGTCTTGACTTGGCTTGTCATTGGGCTTTAAGGAGTAACTGAATAAATGAAACTTTCATTTCCATATGAAGTGTTTGTTGCAATATTGTCCCAGGTGAAATTATATCCTGGCATCACAGCCTTTCCTCTAGTGATGGAAGCTGTAAGAGAAAAATGGTTATCTGCCTGAGAGTTCTGAATGGTTTATAAGCTGGAAAGCCCTGGAGTATCTGAAGTTTCTTGATGAAGCGGTTGAGAACATGATCACCTAGTCCAGAGGGAATTATTCCACTTGCTCTAATTCTCCCTGGCTTTGAGCTGCAGATTGCATCAATCAAGGAAGCTGATTGATTTGTCATATGAATAGGTTCTTTGATGAGCTAAGAGAAATGAAACTTCTGACAATTAAGTTTCATACTATGCTTTAAGGAAATCCACGTGTTCTTAATATAAGCAAAATCTCAAAGTTGTGTTGCAGTTGTGAGCCTTCAGTGACTTTCAGACTATTTCTCTCTTTTTCCTGGCTCTATTTCTTATGTTAGAGGTGATCAAAATGAGGTATGACTTGTTCTTTATGTGTTTGTTCTCATTTTTATTTTTTTAATTATTATTTTAAGACCCTGTTATTAGCCTTTTCAAAATGTTTGTCATGTGGTTTAATGCAAAAGAAATACAGAATGCATATATGTGCTTTGTTTGTGTGTAGATAGGGAATGTTCTGGCCAGTCCTTTAACTTTTAGCCTTATGAATTTCTGTTTTTTAAAAAAAAAAAAAAAAGAAAGAAAATTAGCTCCAGCACCACTGTTAATTTCTGCCATGCATTTTAATGAACCTGCTGTGTAATTATGCTTTATTTACTTTCTACCCTGAAAAAAAAAAAAAGAAAAGAAAAAAAATCTATGTCATTGTTTCCATGTTTTTAAATCACTTCGCTGTTACATTCATCCCTGCAGTAACAGCTAAGAGTGGATATTTTTGGAAGGTGGTACTTGCATGCAGACCACATTATTGCAGTAGTTTTAATAAGTTTGGCCTTTATGGGTGATATTTTAAATATGTTATAGTTTATTTTACAATTACTCAGTTTCATCAGTGTAATTCACTTCACGTTTACTACTCAATTACAGGGAGTTTGATCCTGAAATATCACCTTGTGAATCCTTCGAGTGAGCAGTGTTTTTTTTCTTATTTTTTACCAATCCCATTTCATGAGTGAGGTTAAAGCCTGCTTATGAAAGCTTCCAACTTGATTATTTGATCAACTTAACAGGTAAAATCAACCAAATCTTGATTTGAAGCATGCTATTTTGTTTCTTAATCAGAATATTGTTGCTATCATTTTACAGCATCTACAGTACAGGCAACATCAAAATACAGATTGGTCAGAGAAGGAAATGGCAATACCTATACTGATATCATGTTCTTTACCAGAAAAAAATGCAATTCTTTATTTTGCAATAAAACACTTCAATATTTCCTTCTTTACATTTAGCAAACAGCAGATTGATATTTTAACATAGCTATTTTTGATCTGTTTTCTGTATAACTTGAAGGCACAAGCAGATTTTTTTTCTGGTTTTAAAGAATGACAGCAAAAGCACCTTTATCTGACATTTAGGATGATTAAATTTTGAAAAATCACTTGGCATATTCAGCATGACTCCACAGGGTACTCTTGCTTTATAACGTAATGGATCATGTTAGTTTAACTTATATTTAAGATTTTCTGGCCTGATATTATTGTGTTAGGCAGCATTGCTGAAATGGAAACATAAAATTTTGCTGCCAGGAGATCAAGTCTGTGTTTGAACTACACTATAAATTAGTTCTATAAAGTTTTAAAATACAGTGTTTGCTCCAGCTCTACCAGCATTGTGAACCAGCAAATTGTAGTTAAATATATTCAAAATGAACCTCAGGTCAAAAATGTATGAATTTCTTTTTTGTGCTATTCTAAAAAGTCAACTTTTTTTTTTTTAAAGAAAATTAAGTTCATCGACTAAATATTCTTACAAATATAAACGACTTTTTTTTTATTTATTTATCTGTGACTGTTGTCAAAACAGACTTGGGAATGTCAAAAATTTTTGTTTGGATTTTTAAGCAGTAATGTGTTCTTCGTATCTTAATGACACAAGCCTAACACAACACCATAGGCTAGAAAAAGGGTATATTCTACGCTTCAAAAGCCAGGGATTTGAATTTTCTGTTGAGAAATCATGATCACATTCACTACTCACAATTCAAAATTGTATTAATAATAATAATAATTAATGCTGGGATTGTAGAAGGGTGTTCAGCTCATTACCTGGTACAAGCTGAGAAATGGACACTTCAGCATGTCCCAGGAAACACGCTTGCAGAGTTAAGAGGATGCAGTTTACAGCTTTTCTAATCATAGAAATTGTAGTACCCTAGACTGGCTTGAGTCAGAAGGCACCTTAGAGATCATATAGTCCATACCCTTCTTCTTTGGGCAGGGTTGCCACTCACTATTCCAAGCTGCCCAGGGCCACAACTAACATGGCCTCCGGTGGCAGGGGTATCCACAGCTTGTCTGGGCAACCTGTTCACCATCCTCTGACTTAAAAATTTCTCTGTAACATCTAATCTAAATCTCCTCTCCTCTAGTTTAAAATGGTTCTCCCTTGTCTTGTCACTATTAGACCATGTATAAAGTTGGTCTCCCACCTGATTTTAAGCACATTTTAAGTGTTGAATATTCCCCCCCCCATGCCTTCTCTCCTTAAAAAAAAAAAAAAAAAAAAAAAAAAAGCCACCAAAAAAACCCCCCGCAAAAACAGCTCCCTCAATGTTTTTTTCATAAGACAGATGCTTCTGCCCTCTGAGCATCTTCATGTACATCTCTGGATCTGCTCTAACATTTGCATGTCTTTCTGGTGCAGGGGGCCCTAGGCTTGGTACAGTCTGCAAAACTGATGAAAAGCATGAAAGTGCCTATAAAAATGCTCCCAGCACTGATGTGGATGAGTGAATTTTCTCCCAGCTGATGTTTCAGGTCTGCAGCAAAAAACAATTTACAATCTAATCAAATACAGTGAATTTATTGAAGTAACAAATTGTTTATAAAGCTTTCCGAGTCTCTATTATATGTACCTGATGTTTGTCATTTTTGGCAGGGAAAGGTAGGTGTTGAGAATGTGTTTTTCAGGGCATCCAGTATGTCTGTTCAAGTTAGTGTGTTTGAGCTCTCTGTGTGGTGGAAAGGAGCTACAGCTTGGGCATCAACTTCTCTATGAATCATTTTTTTCAGGAACTTTCAGAGCAGCACAGTGCCAGGACTGATACATTTGCCAGAAGTTTACAGTGCAGCAATAAATTAATGTCTGCTTTGCATTATGGTCATTTACAAATGAATTTGGGAATTGAGGTCTTTCAGTTGCCAAGTTCCTAACACTTTTACTGCTGATCTCTTCACGGTATTGCTCTCTTTATGAGTTTATTCTAGGAAAAATGGGAAATATGAAGTGGAAGTATGGGATTTCAGAAAAGGTAAAGCTTGGTGCGGAGTTTGAGTAAAAAATGAAGCCTGGAGAATCATGCAATCGTGTGAAAGAAGCTGAAAGTTAATCAAAGAGTTGAATTGTTGAAGAAATGTATTTGTCTGATTGCTGGT